CACTTCATGTGTACATGAAGTATCGTCTCTCAATCACCTTCTATACAAGGTACGCATCATTAAAAAAAAATGTGTAATTCAGCAGTGTGCTGCTGCCTTGATGATACTTACACAACTGCAACAATGTCTAAACCTTTTCCTTACACTACAAACACACACCACACACACACGAACAGACACACACACACACACACACACACACACACACACACACAACACACACAACACACAAACACACACACACATATATATATATATATATATATATATAATAATATATATATATATATATTATATATATATAAATAAATATTATATATATATATATATATATATATATGAGCTTAATTTGGTCTTGCCGATGCGGTGACAGACACGACTCTAAAGGTTGAGGATACATCATCGAAGCCAGAGTGTAAGCGAGGTTTTATATCAGTGCTGTGTGTGTGGTGTTTGACACACCTATTTGTACTCACCTATTTGTGGTTGCATGGGTTTCGAGTCCTTAGCTCCTGGCCCCGCCTCTTCACCGGTTGCTACTGGGGGCCCGGGCCCTCTCTCTCCCCGCTCCATGAGCTTTATCCAAACCTCGTCTTAAAACTGTGATGGTTCCTGCCTCCACTACGTTCATTTCTAGGCTATTCCACTGCCTTACAACCTCTATGACTGAAGAAATAACTTCCTACTATCTACTCTGACTCATTTGTGTCTTCAACTTCCAATTGTTGGCCTCTTGTTTCTGTGTCCCTCCCAGGAACAACCTGTCTTTGTCCACCTTGACTATTCCACGCAGTAATTTTATATGTCGTTATCATGTCTCCCTCCCCTTACCCTCCCTGTCCTCCAGTGTCGTCAGGCCGATTTCCCTTAATCTTTCTTCATAGGACATTCCCCTTAGCTTCTGAACTAACCTTGTCGCAACCTTTGTACTTTCCTTCTCTATTTCCTTGACGTGCTTTATCAAGTGCGGGTTCCAAACAGGTGCTGCCTACTCCAGTATGGGCCTGACAACACGGTGTAACAGTGTCTTGAATGATTCCCTTACTAAGGTCTCGGAATGCTGTTCTCAGGTTTGCCAGGCGCCCATATGCTGCAGCAGTTATTGATTTGATGTGTGCTTCCGGAGACATGTCGGTGTTATACTCACCCCAAGATCTTTCTCCTTGAGTGAGGTTTGCAGTCTTTGGCCACCTAGCCTATAACTCTGTCTGTGGTCTTCTGGCCCTTCCCCTATCTTCATGACTTTGCATTTGGCAGGATTAAATTCGAGAAGCCATTTGCTGGACAAAATGTCCAGTCTGTCCAGGTCTCTTTGAAGTCCTGCCTGGTCCTCATCAGATTTAATTCTCCTCATTAACTTCACATCATCTGCAAACAGAGACACTTCTGAGTCTAACCTTCCGTCTTGTCGTTCACATATACCAAAAATAGCACTGGTCCTAGGACCGACCCCTGTGGGACCCGCTCGTCACAGGTGCCCACTGTGATACATCATTACGTACCATGACTCGTTGTTGCCTCCCTGTCAGGTATTCTCTGATCCATTGCAGTGCCCTTCCTGTTATATGCACCTGATGCTCTAGCTTCTGCACTAATCTCTTGTGAGGAACTGTGTCAAAGGCCTTCTTGCAGTCCAAGAAGATGCAATCAACCCACCCCTCTCTCTCGTGTCTTACTTCTGTTATTTTATCATAAAACTCCAGAAGGTTTGTGACGCAGGATTTGCCTTCCGTGAATCCGTGCTGGTTGACATTTATACTCTCGTTCCGTTCCAGGTGCTCCACCACTCTCCTCCTGATAATCTTCTCCATAATTTTGCATACTATACACGTCAATGACACAGGTTTATAATTTAGTGCCTCTTTTCTGTCTCCTTTTTTAAAAATGGGAACTACATTTGCCGTCTTCCATACCTCAGGCAGTTGCCCAGTGTGTGTGTGTGTGTGTGTGTGTGTGTGTGTGTGTGTGTGTGTGTGTGTGTGTGTGTGTGTGTGTACTCACCTATTTGTACTCACCTATTTGTGGTTGCAGGGGTCGAGTCCTAGCTCCTGGCCCCGCCTCTTCACCGGTTGCTACTAGACCCTCTCTCTCCCCGCTCCATGAGCTTTATCAAACCTCGTCTTAAAACTGTGTATGGTTCCTGCCTCCACTACGTCATTTTCTAGGCTATTCCACTGCCTTACAACTCTATGACTGAAGAAATACTTCCTACTATCTCTCTGACTCATTTGTGTCTTCAACTTCCAATTGTGGCCTCTTGTTTCTGTGTCCCCTCCCTGGAACATCCTGTCCTTGTCCACCTTGTCTATTCCACGCAGTATTTTATATGTCGTTATCATGTCTCCCTGACCCTCCTGTCCTCCAGTGTCGTCAGGCCGATTTCCCTTAATCTTTCTTCATAGGACATTCCCCTTAGCTCTTGAACTAACCTTGTTGCAAACCTTTGTACTTTCTCTAGTTTCTTGACGTGCTTTATCAAGTGCGGGTTCCAAACAGGTGCTGCATACTCCAGTATGTGTGTGTGTGTGTGTGTGTGTGTGTGTGTGTGTGTGTGTGTGTGTGTGTGTGTGTGTGTGCGTGTGTGTGTGTGTGTGTGTGTGTGTGTGTGTGTGTGTATGTGTGTGTGTGTGTGTGTGTGTGTGTGTGTGTGTGTGTGTGTGTGTGTGTGTGTGTGTGTGTGTGTGTGTGTGTGTGTGTGTGTGTGTGTGTGTGTACCCATTACACACACACTGGGTGTGGACGTGTGAAATGCTCATTACTTTATAATTTGTTCATGACTGTAACCATGTATAAACGTAAGTAAGTAAATTTACTTACTTACATGATTCATTACCTTCGTAACTTATGACTTCATTACCTTTGTACCTTGTTCACTATCAAAACTTGGGGCCCAGTCCCGGGACCCATTATGTACCTCTGTGCTCTTTTGACTACCACCCACGGGATGGGTATGGGGTGCATAATGAAGATATTAAACTAACATCAGTACGAGGCTCGAAGGGACCAGACGAGGGACCACACCAGTGTAAATGGTCTGAGAGGTCAAGGCAAGTAGTACCCAGGGAGGAATTAGGGAGAGCCAACAGGAAATCCTTGGCGTGAGGAGCTGTTACCTCTAGGATAATACACATTCTCAAGAAATGCTGAAGTGATATTTTCCACCGAGACTTTCCACTAAGACTACCCCAGTGTGTCAGTGTGTTGAAAACACTGGCGAAACACACGTGACACCAACTTCTTGGAGATGACCTCCATTGGTCTTCCAGTGAAACCCAAGATTGTGTTATTTTGTTTGCTGACTCAGAACACTGTCTGCCTCAAAGTAATTGCCACTATCATTAAACTGTGTATATATATATATATATATATATATATATATATATATATATATATATATATATATATATATATATATATTATATATATTATATAATTTATGATAGTGGTAATTACGTTGAGGCAAACATCGTCCTGAGTCAGTGAACGAAATAACACAATCTTGGAGTATTTATTTATTAGTTGAAGACTGTGTTGATACCAGTATATATACACTGAGAGCAGCTGTTTACGTACTCACATGGGTGTATTACTCATTATATTTTCTGTATATTAACTTTATTCGCTATTTTTGATGATTTATGAAAGTACTAAAAAAAATTACAATGCCTCATAGCCTCGTTTGAACCTTAAACTCTGATAAAGAGCTCTAGATTATAGGACTTGGAGCTACCCACGTTTCCTTCCATTAAAATATTTCCCTGGTGCTCATCCCTATCAATCTACAATAATAATAATGGTGGAGATTCTTTATTCTCTCACAAATTCCCGTTTAACGAAGTATATTGCGACAGAGTCCCCAGAGAACTCCACATCTGTTCTCACTCATCTCTGGTCTGGCTCAACACATGCTGACACATCCACTTTCACGAATGTGAACACATTAACATTTAACAGACATCTGGCATCAAAACAGGCGCCACACTGCCAGATGTACAACAAAAATCATACACACCACACTGCCAGACGTGCAACGAAAATCATTCACACCACACTGCCAGACGTGCAATGAAAATAATTCACACCGCACTGACAGACATACATTCACACCTCATTACTACATGTACAACGGTAGCCATTCATACGGCATTGACGGGCTTATAACGGCAACCATTCACACCACTGACAGTCATCATCTGACTAAGACCCGCATCAGGAAACACTTGTCCTGTTTCCTAACGAACCTATCTAACCTGACCTAACCACACTGGTAGACGTACAGCAATAGTCATTCACACAATACAAGTCAGATGTTTAATTCCAATTCCAATTTTTATTTTTTAAGCTGTACAAAAGTAATGTAATTTGCGTCTAGTACACACAAAAGAGTAGGTGGGCACGAAAGAAAGCCACCAGTATGCAATACATTTCGGGCAGAGCATTGACATTCACACAACACTGCCAGACGTATTACTACAGAGTCTATTGGTAATATGAACATTTAATAATGTCAATAAAACAACAAATAAAACACGTATTCTTTGTTAATAAATAACCATAAATTAAAATATAAATTACATGAAAATAAGTTAAGATTTTATATACATTTCTGATAAAAAAAGGGAAAATCTCCTTTGGTATATCACACTCTGCAAACATACATACACTTGTATATATATATATATATATATATATATATATATATATATATATATATATATTATATATATATAATATATATATATATATATATATATATACATATATATATATATATATATATATATATATATATATATATATATATATATATATATATATACATATATAAAATATATATATATATATATATATATATATATATATATATACATATATATATATATATATATATATATATATATATATATATATATATAATATATATATATATATATATATATATATATATATATATATATTTTATATATATATATATATATATATATATATATATGCATGTATATGATGTTGCTTTTCTAGGAATTATGAGATCACGCGTTGTCTGTGCTTTCTAGTGGCAGGTAGTGTACTAGTGATAGCTAGTATACTAGTTATAGCTAGTGATAATATGCTAATGACAGCTAGTATACTAATGACAACTAGTATAGTGATAGTCTACTAGTTGTCATTAGTATACACTTGGTTACATAATCTGAAAACGATTGTCTTATGCTATATATGGCAATAAGATTGAAAATGACTAAATATGACAACTTTGATGTGTGAACCTTGATAGCTGCTCACGGAGGTAACAGCTACACATTCTAATAGCTGTACTTAATATTACAAAATAACATACCGGTCTAATGAACTGCAAAACAAGAGTAACTTAATATTTCACAATTATCAGGTACATCAACTTGTCTTTGGTCAATTCTACTTAAATGTCAACAATACCTTTCAATTGTTATAAAAGTACAAAATACCACTAAGGAATGAGGTAGGCCTATATATGCTGCCTGCTGAGTAGTAGCCGCTATGGACGGCACTGAGACTTGTGAGAATGTCTGGAGTTCGACTCACTTCCTCTCAGAACATTGTGTTTACTGGCCTTAATGAGAGGAAAGAGGCGAAGTGAGTTCAGAGTTCGTGGTTCACATTCTTATTGGGTTACCCCAACGGATGGGACGGACATCTGATTTCCTGGGAAAACGGACTCGGGGGAAAGAGAATATTTGATCATCTAAATTTTCCAGAAACGTAGCATGATGATGAAAGATGTGGGTTGAGTATTAACATCCCTTACCAATCCAGTCATATATGAGAAGTTAAAACTTATACTGCCTTTATTGTAAAGTCAGTTCTAGGAGGTGTTCAGGGGTACAGTATTCTGATTTCACTTTCGTTTTACAGATGTAGCATAAAGATATGTGATCCTCTTGTTAGCACCGAAGTATACTGTTGTCTAAGCCAAGTTCTTATTGTTGATAGATTCTAGTATGAAAATCAGAATACGGTCTTGCCTGCAGACTAGTATGTGTGAAACAAAAGAAAGCCATCAGTAGAAGGATCTTTCTTTCAATTCTCTGAGGTACTTGATAGCCTTCGGTCCACACCGGTACACCAGTTGCTTCTCTGATACCGGCAGCAAAGCTCCGGTGCTGTAGTGATATCTGGAAGTGACAGAAGTCGGTGAGGAAAAGATACCTAGCAATCAGCGACTCGGTATATCACACTATGCTCATGAATAAATATCGCTCAGGTTCATTAGCAAGTCAGCAGTGTTTGTTTACATTCATTGTGACGTCACTAACTGTTCCCGCCAAAACAAACTGCTTTTATTTGGCGGGAAATGTAATGCAAACAATCTCTTTTGTCAATCATAAACTATAGCAAATGCTGTCAAATGAATATAAGTCTACGAATTTGAGAAGACGAATAATGTGCATACTGAAAATATGGGCTACTTCGGTAAATAAATTACCATTAACTGAAATGTCTGAATAAAAAAAATACATAAAACCTTTGATGTAGGTGGAAAATCGGAGAAAACACGATGTGTCTCGTTAGTGGAGGAATGTGATGTCTTTGACGTACATATACGTATTGCTCTCTAAAGCATTCATACCCAAGACCTTATGAAATCTTAGCTAAACTAACATATATATATATATATATATATATATATATATATATATATTATATATATATATATATATATATATATATATATATATATATATATATATAATATATATATATATATATATATATAATATATATATATATATATATATATATATATATATGTCGTGCCGAATATGTAAAGCTGGTCAATTATCAAGAACTCATTTAAAATTAAGTCCTTTCTAAAATTTTCCCTTATACGTTTAAAGATATTTTTTTTTCATTAATGTTAATGTAAAAAAATTTAATTTTGCACCAAAAGAATCTTAGAAAACTTACCTAACCTTATTATAACAAGAACAATTTATTTTAACCTAACCCAACTATATATATTTTAGATTTGTTTGCAATAATTTAATACTAAACAAACACAGTGAAATATATTTTTTCGTTAGGTTCAGAATGATTTTGGCGAAATTATTGCATACACAAATTTTCACTTGTCCTATATGGCAAGATGAGCGTTGCTATTTAAGCCAAGATAGCAAGTTCTGCCTATTCGGCACGACATATATGTATATATATATATATAATATATATAATATATATATATATATATATATATATATATATATATAATATATATTATATATATATATATATGAATTCAAGGATGTCTCAAAAGATTTTTGTTTTATATAAAAAGGGGAATTTGTCCTTTTTCGAGTAGTATACAGGTATAACTTTTCATTTTGTGTATACAATACCGATCTCACGAGGTAAATGAAATATGTGACTAGGCCTACCTGAGACCCCGAGCGAAGTTGAAGTAGGAGAGGTTAGGTTTCTCCGACCTGGCTCCCCACATCTGAGCGATGAGATTAGGCTGGACCAGACGGAAGGTGGCCTGGGTCTCATCCTCCCAGCGTATCAGACTGGGATTGCTCCTCCGGTCTCCCAGCAAGCGTAACAGAAACTCCCAGCTCTTGGGCCCTCTCTCTGCCAATCATAAATACTGTTGTGTGAATTATTATTATTATTATTATTATTATTATTATTATTATTATTATTATTATTATTATTATTATATTCATATGGAAGCGCTAAACTCGTAAGGATCTTACAGTTCTTCTCCTCCCTCCACTGTTTCCTCCCCTGTGGGCGCTTACCTCTCCTTCTGGTGTTGGTGGGAATTTTCTGGAACACATCTGTGTCTGGGGTCACCCCTGCCGCCCCAGCCGCCCCAGCCGCCCCCGCCGCCTCGGCTCCAGCCGCCCCCGCCGCCCATGCCACCTCCGCCCCTGCTTCCTCCTCTGAAACAAAAAGATCAACATTACACCAGGACTCAAAATATAACTATCAACTTGTCATTATCAACGTCATTATTAACGTCGCTATCAGCGTCACTATCAGCCCCACTATCAGCATGAATACCAACGTCATTATTAGTCACTATCAGTATCAATATTAGCGTCATTATCAATGTCACTGTTATCGTTACTATCAACGTCACTATCAATGTCAATATTAACGTTATTATCAACGTGAATATCATCGTCACTATCATCCCTATAATCATTTTAATATCCACAACAATGCTTTAATTATTGAACGTGACTTGCTAAACCCTGGATGTGGTACATTCAACCCAATTTGTGGTGGAGGCTCGATCCTCCAGTCTCTCTCTCTCTCTCTCTCTCTCTCTCTCTCTCTCTCTCTCTCTCTCTCTCTCTCTCTCTTCTCTCTCTCTCTCTCTCATCCAGGCTGTGCTGCATCGCCCTTGCGGGTTCACCG